CGATGAATATTTTTCACTCGATTGATTAATTAATGATTACGATTAAAACAAATTAATTATTACTTGATGGAATTAGTCACCGATTATAAATAACAATCATTGTTCATCTGTCACCACTCAGAAACATTTCACTAATTCTTATTTTAATCGAAATTGAATTGAAATTCAAAACTGCTAATAAAACAACAGTAATTTAAATAGTTAATCGTTATGTACATATATACTTCTTCATTATATTTACTGGTACTTATTAAACGTAATTAGGAGGTTAAAAATTATACGTTTATACGTAATAAAAACGAACCTCATTTATTAATTAGTATTAATAAAATATAGTATTAATATAGTATTAATATAGTATTAATATAGTATTAATATAGTATTAATATAGTATTAATATAGTATTAATATAGTATTAATATAGTATTAATATAGTATTAATATAGTATTAATATAGTATTAATATAGTATTAATATAGTATTAATATAGTATTAATATAGTATTAATATAGTATTAATATAGTATTAATATAGTATTAATATAGTATTAATATAGTATTAATATAGTATTAATATAGTATTAATATAGTATTAATATAGTATTAATATAGTATTAATATAGTATTAATATAGTATTAATATAGTATTAATATAGTATTAATATAGTATTAATATAGTATTAATATAGTATTAATATAGTATTAATATAGTATTAATATAGTATTAATATAGTATTAATATAGTATTAATATAGTATTAATATAGTATTAATATAGTATTAATATAGTATTAATATAGTATTAATATAGTATTAATATAGTATTAATATAGTATTAATATAGTATTAATATAGTATTAATATAGTATTAATATAGTATTAATATAGTATTAATATAGTATTAATATAGTATTAATATAGTATTAATATAGTATTAATATAGTATTAATATAGTATTAATATAGTATTAATATAGTATTAATATAGTATTAATATAGTATTAATATAGTATTAATATAGTATTAATATAGTATTAATATAGTATTAATATAGTATTAATATAGTATTAATATAGTATTAATATAGTATTAATATAGTATTAATATAGTATTAATATAGTATTAATATAGTATTAATATAGTATTAATATAGTATTAATATAGTATTAATATAGTATTAATATAGTATTAATATAGTATTAATATAGTATTAATATAGTATTAATATAGTATTAATATAGTATTAATATAGTATTAATATAGTATTAATATAGTATTAATATAGTATTAATATAGTATTAATATAGTATTAATATAGTATTAATATAGTATTAATATAGTATTAATATAGTATTAATATAGTATTAATATAGTATTAATATAGTATTAATATAGTATTAATATAGTATTAATATAGTATTAATATAGTATTAATATAGTATTAATATAGTATTAATATAGTATTAATATAGTATTAATATAGTATTAATATAGTATTAATATAGTATTAATATAGTATTAATATAGTATTAATATAGTATTAATATAGTATTAATATAGTATTAATATAGTATTAATATAGTATTAATATAGTATTAATATCTGTCTCTTATACACATCTAGATGTGTATAAGAGACAGATCATAAAGTACTTAAATAATAAAGTGATGAGGTACACTATGTACGTTAATTGTACATACATTTCACATGTATTTAGAAGTCACAGTTTATACATGAAAATTATTAATAATCCAAACAGTAAATGAAACAATAGTATTTTTAAAAATTTAAATATTAATTTTTTAATAATTTCTCGTTACTATATAATATTTAGAAAAATATTGTAACATTTTTTACTTATACTCTTATAGTTCCATAAAAATTATTGTTCAAATATTTTTTAAATATAATAGTATAAAATTATTGAATTTTCACAGTTGTAAATGGATTACAATTCTTTTTATAGCAATTATATATATAAAATAGTTTATATCGTTTATAAAAATACTTTTTCTGGTATTATGTAAATTCCATAAATGCGAAAGAATCCACAGTGATCTAACTGTTTGTGAACACATATTTTATACGCGTATAATTGTGGTATAATATACTCAAAATACTATACAATACTCGAAACATTATACTCGTTGAGAGTAATATGTTCATAATAATACTTGTTTGATCTGATCGATTTATTTTTCCTACGTATATTATAAATTGTCTACTTCCATGGCAGGATTTTCATATGATCGTTTTGATTCTGTCTCTGTCCTCCGTTGTTCGTCCGCCCAACTTTGTTTCTCACCAGATGCATATAAACCATAGATGACTGCACCCAATAAATAAACTGCACCAGCAATTATGAACACTGTGCGCCACTCTTCGGGACTCTATAGAATGTATTATTATCGATTAACACAATTGATCGATTAATTAGATGATATCAAGGTAAAAATTAAATAGCGATTTTTCACTGTAATAATTCACTGACAAATTCAGATAAAAATAAGTACATTGTGACATACTAACTTACTTTATTTTGAACAATGTAACCAGTAATGATAGGGCTAACAACACCAGGCAATGTTGCAATAGTGTTCCCTATTCCCATGAGTACACTTGCATGCCTAGGAGCAATGTCTAAATGATTTACCCTAAGAGGAAAACAAAATGCAGATCAATATATATTATCGATTACAGATTTCTGTAATATTTTTACTACTGTGCTTAATATTTTAATACTTCGTATTCGTTTTAATATTTCTTAAAATATAAATTACCCGAAACCAGACCACGCAAAACCACCGAGGCCAACAGCTATAGTGATACAAATAACTACTCCTGCAGGTGTGAAGATGAAACCTGTAGTCGTCATAAATATTGTTTGGAATACGAAAGCCCCGCAATTGAATAATTTGCGAACCTACGACAGGAAATTTGTTACGATAAGTTTCTGTGAAAAATATATCAAACACATCGACAGATGCGTGAATAAATATTTAACCCACCTGCGTGGTTGTCAACAATTTCCTCGCTCTTAAATAATCTGCTAAGTGTCCAGAAATTTGAACGACCAAAGTCATGACTAAATACGGCAGGGCGGATAAGTATCCAGTCTTGTCCAACTTGAAGTCGAGAATATCTGAGAAATAAGTTAATAATTTTCAATCATTAGAGTTAATGCTATATACAGTGAGTAACAATAATGACCGCACATCATTTTAGAACGCATAATTTTTTAAACGTGTCCCAAATAACTTGAATTTAATTGAGATGTTAGACTGATTAGTTTACTGAACAATGGGTAAAGAAATTTTTGTAAAAATTACAATTGGTTGAAATGACGAAGAGAGTTAAAAAGTGATGTTTTTTTCAACTTCCTTACTTAAGCCTATCTTGGTGATTTGTATGCGCACTGTAAATTTCATCAAAAATCGGTTGACTAATCGGTCGACTATCTTTAATAAGATAGCTAAAGTTGCAGTTCTTCACAACTTTCAGCTAATAACTGTAGTAAATCTTAAGATTTTTACATATTTCAATAACTTGATTCTGCGTCAACCGATTCGATGAAATTTTCATAATGCATATGAATTATCGAAATTTACAAAACGCATTGTTCACATTTTCGTTTTAGGCTCAGATACAAAGATAAAAGACATGAGTTTTTTTTATTATTTTTGTTACTGCAATCAATTACAATTTCCGGAAAAATGTTTTTACTCATTTTCTACTGTAAACTAATCAATCTAACGTCTCACGAAAATTCGAGTAATTTGGCTTAATTTTAAAAGCATTTTAAGTGGTGTCCAAATATTATCGTTATTCGCTGTATGTATGGTATAATACAGTTTCCCAGTATTTTTTGGCTTTATCTTATGAATAGTCTATTTCTGTTTGTCAAAGTTTCTAAGTATAGCTATGCGTGTAATTTTGTCCCAAAAAGGCAGATTGAAAATAAAAAAGTAATATAAAGTAATATGTGTTAGACCAACCGCTCATAAATGTCGGCAGTTGAGTGAGCATAGTGTAGAAACCCCAATTTTCGCTAAAATGTGCTGCAATGATAGCCCACACTGGCGGAGAAGTGAACATTTTCTTCCATGGATGAGTAATTTTCTGCAAGGTTGAAAAATAGTCTTCTTAGAAATACTCGAGCCTTTTGCATTGTTCAAGTACAGTAGAAACTCGATTATTCGGTCCTTCAATATCAAAATTATCTAATATCCAAATACGTTTCACATGGAATCAGCTCAATCTAAGGCAATTCATATGCAAAACGATTTGCTGCATAAATCAATAATGATGAAATCTAGCATTGTAACCGAGTTACTGTTCTATCAACCGATCATTCACGATACAGTGCTTAGCCTGGATAATCAAGATTCCACTGTAGTAAGTACCAGTTGATATTTTTGATTCAATTCCGTTGCATACTCACCTCTTCCTTGTTGCTATTCCCAAGGGAACTTTTGATATATTCTAGTTCCGCTTCGGAAATGTACGGATCATCTTCCGGCCTGTCCTTCACGATTATCCACCAAAGAAAGAACCACACGAGGCCCGCGGCCCCAAAAACGTAGAAAATGGACTCCCATCCAAGGTGTTCTGCCATTAAACCGGCGATTGGCATGGCAAACACTGTGCCGAGGAAACTTCCGGAAAACGCGAGGGTTGCTAATTTCGATCTTTCCAGAGGAGGCGCCCATTGCGCCCATATCGCGTGTATGCAAGGATAAGTGACGCCCTGCAAACAAATTTACAATCTGCCATCTGTTACATCCTATTAACTCTCCCTCTTCGCGTTTTACGCTTTACCCTCCCTTTACGTTAGTTGTAATTAAATTTATTACTGTTCTCATCATCGTGAATGTTATTTATCACATTACTACCATCATGTAGCATAATTCTTAGTGTTAATACTATTTCTATTTTCACCGTCTTCATTGTTACAGAACCACAATTTCTCCGCAACGATTGATAAGACCCATGCCTGCGTTTACATCTTTTACATCTCACTTTAAAAATAGCTCATAATCTGACGTCCAATTGGACAGGAAACGACTTCGTAACCACAGTAGAGTAGATCGTTGAATTCGTTTTGATAACGAGTGTGACATTACGAAATCAAGAATATATAATAATATGTGCATTTAAAAAAAAATGTTGTTATATTGAAATTGAGAGAAGCCTGCATGTCGATTAACTTTCATTGAAAACATTTTTTCGCGAAATCATCAGAAATGTTTGAAAATTGTGACAGCAGCAACTTCTTCGATCGAAACAAGAACCAACCACACTTTGGTAAATTCATCTGTTGTGTTCTAGCAACATGACATCAATTAATTAGAAATTAAACAGAAAAAGAGTTTAAAAAACTTAACCCCTTAACGCGGATATTTTAATCTATATGTGTCATTCCGAAACTAAATCATTTATTAAACTTGTTTAACGTCTGAGATAGCTTCGAATTTAATCAGTTTTATACTGTTTAAAACTATTCTTTGTTAATTTAGTGTGTTCGTGACATACAGTGGCATGGCTGTTAAGAAGTTAAGAGTCTTAAAATTTCTCTGTCGTAAACGAGTTATTATGCATTCTCATTGTAGTCCTTTAATACGTTTATCTAGTGCAGCCGATTTTCGTTACGGACATTTATGCTTTTTCCTTGTATTTGTCACGGTCGAATCTAGATTTGCATAAAAATGAGAAGACTCGTCAAACGGGTTGAACAGCATTTTTCAATGTTGACGTGTTTCTGGGATTTCCCTGGGATTCAAAAATACACTATCAGACCGGTTTAAATTAAAAATATAACGAAAATATAACGAAATAAACTATACTCCACATAAAACAAAAAGTGAAAAAAGTTCAATCTAAAATATCGAAAATTTGCACAAAAATGTTCGATTTTTATTTAATTGAATATTTTCTTCAGGAAATAAGATATCAAGATATAAGATGTCCTCCACATTCCACTAGTCTGTGCGGCTGTATAAAACAGCACAATAAAATATTGTACACTTACGGAATCGCATGTCAGACATTAATCTGACGAATTAATGTCAGACATTAATGATTGATTAATATGAAGATTAGTTTCACTGCAGTTGTGCTTCAAACAAATTAATTTTAGTATTAAAAACCGATTTTTTAAATTGAAAAATTTAACACTCGGACGACGTATTTCATTAACATACCAGAAGGAGTACTTAAAAAAAATATGTTGAAAAAGATCGATAAATAAAATTACAAATGTTCCTAAAAACATACTAAACTACCTCACAGATTCCTTCGATTATCCTTAGAGAAATTAGGATGTAAACGCTTATTCTTGTCAATGGCGGCGTAATAATGGTGAAAAAGGCTGTGGCTGCGATTCCGAGACCAAAAACCCTTTTCCCACCTATACGAGCTCCGAGCCATCCTCCGAGTAATTGGGTACTCAAATATCCGTAGAAGAACGAGCTCAGGACCAGCCCTTGCGTTTTCGAGTCCCAATCGAACTCTTTCTCCTGCAAAGAACACGCTAAATCTGTATACAAATAAAATTATGCAAAACAGAGGTAATTCTTACATATTCTAAATAACAGAGTTTCACGATTTCTTATTCCTTACTTGTTCTATCTTTCACCGATAAAAGTAAACAATAAGACATACGAAGCGTGCAAGAAGTTAATAGTAATATCCGTGCAACATTCTTTCGTTTATGTGTGTATATGCATTTGGATCGCTTCAGGTTCAAAGAACAACGACGAGCGCTTCGGATAACCGTTTATCAGCAAAGACAAGTCAAGTCAATGGATAAAGTACTATAAACACATCGTATTTCTGATAAGATCTCTTCCTTGATCCATTCATGCCACTAATCACTGATTCTGGTCTATTGACACGTTCTGAAAATTGTACGACTGTGTCTGTACTTCTGCGCATGCACATGTACGGAAAGATTGGAAAATATCTTGTCTTCTTCCATGATGCTTAATAATTATTACAAATTTTCTGTCAACGGTGACCAAAAAAAATCGATTACTCACAAAGTAAATATTTCCGTCGGCATCGACTTTCTTAACGCTTGCAGTCATCGCGACAATAGCCACGCTCAAATTGACTCGAAGTATGTACGAAGTGAAGAATCCTAGGAACGCCAATATTCCCACCACGTATCTTCTCTTTTTCCAAAATATCCACGATGGTACGACCTCATCTTCGTATTTTACACTATCATCGAACAGCAGATACACAAAAATCGAAATAAACATTTATTAGCATCGCATCGGTAAAGGTCAAATATATTGGGTTGGCAACTAAGTAATTGCCGATTTCAGTTATAGATGTTTCTCACTCCCATTTTTATGATATCCGTAAATGTTATATTATAAAATTATTATTATTATTATTATTATTATGTTATTTTTTATTATCCGTGAATGTTAGCAACTGGACAAATTGAATGCAACGGTCAAGGAAAAGCGACCAGAATTGGTCAATCGTAAAGGTGTCATTTTCCAGGAGGACAATGCTAGGCCGCACACGTCTTTGTCCACTCGGCAGAAATTGATGGATATTGGTTGGGAAATGATGTTACACCCACCATATAGCCCTGATCTCGCGCCATCGGATTACCACTTATTTCGATCCCTGGACAATTCCCTTCGTG